ACTCTTGTTGGTAAACTCAATTTTGGGAAACTCTTCCTTCCCGGTGAAAAGTCAGAAATGCCACTTATTTGGCTCATTTCTGATTTTGTACATCGGGCATCTTTCTTCCGGGATGAACAGTTGCTGAGTGAACAACAGATGCTTTCTTCATATTGTGTCAGACGTATTTTCAAGAACTTGTGCAACATTTTCGGTTAATCGGTTAAAAATCGAAACCGGTGCATGCCTAGGGTACATCATAATTATTTCTAGACATATCTAATGAATGTTGAATTGTGGAAAATAATGCTCATTAATTTGAATGGGAACAATTGGAGCATTTATCATTTTCTGAACTATATTCGAATTGAACCATGTCTAATTTGATGGTTAGAAATGATTGCCGTTCTAATGTATCGGTACTATACCGTTGTTTGCTTAAGTTTGAACGCAAACTAGCTTCGGTTAGAATCACAGAATAAATGGATAGGTTTTTTTCTTATATGTCCTCCAAGTTCTTTTCGTATCGTACCTTTTTATTACTTCGTTTCATCGGATTTACTAGTTTAGACAATGCTTCGTTAAGAACTATTCATGAGATCTTGATTAGACGCGTCAGAACATTCTAATTTTCTATCATTCTACTTAAGAAAAAAAACGTATTGACTTTAGTCTGTCAAAGCCTGATTTCTTCCAGGATCAAATTAGCTGTAAAATACACTTACCGTTTAATTAATTTGTTTGCAAATGTCAATATTTCGGTTTGAAGCTTTTTTGATTTACATTGTTCAACATGTATTATTAAATGAATTGCATATGTAAAAATCTTTGATAATGTAGATGATGTCCGTTGTTTATGAATGAATGCATAATTAAATATTGTTTCAAAAATTTGTTCATATTTGATTATTAAATTTAAATGATAATAATTATCATATTTTGTCATTGTATTAATTAAACCTTCAATAATCATCAATTGTTCATTTACTAAACTTTTTTCAATAAATATTAATACTTTTTCTTCACATTGACGATTACGTATGGCACATTTTAATAATGATAAAATATTTTGGAGACGTTGTGATACATCAGCATTTGTTTGTTTCATTAAATTTAAATAATTATCATAATTTGGTTCAAGATAATCATATTCCAAATATTTTAATTTTTTAATCGCATCTACTTGTTCTTCTTTTTCTTCTTGGATTAATAAATATTTTGACAAAGATGATGTTAATTGAGGATATTCTTGCAACACTGTTAGAGTATTATAAAATGATGCAACTGGATATAATTTTTTTAAAAATTTTTGTTCACCAATTTTTTGTTGAATAATTTGTTCAAAAAAATATTTACGACGTTTTTCTATAGAATATAAATTATTTAGTGTTTGATTTGTAAAAAATATACTTAATATTGTATCTAAATTAGAAATTCGTTCATATAATACCATAAATACTTGAATATAGTCTTGTTGGGAAAAATTACGTGGAAATTCGAGAGAAGGCAACGTCGATGACCAACTTTGTTTTGCTTGTATATCTTGATCGGTTGTCACTAATTTTAATAATTCAATCATTTGTTGTGGTGCATGATGAAAATATTGTTTTGTATAAGTAGAAATAAATTGGGGTAATGCTTGACTAGATTGACTAGATCGTATTCCTTTTCCTAATAAATCAAGAACATATTGACATAACTGTTGATAGAACAGTGAAGATTGACCATGACATAATTTTGAAAATATTTTTTCATTTTCACTAAAGAAGTCGCCGACATCATAACTTTTCTGTAATTTTAAACTTTCTTGTAATTGATTGTCAAGTAATATTAATACGAGTTGTGGGTGAAATTTAATTAATTTTAAACTGAGTGTATACGATAGTTGATCAAAACGTGTAATATTCCATAACTTTAATAATCCTTTAGCTTGTGTCTCACCACAAAATGGTAATGTGTGTAAATCAATATTATGTTGTTGATGATGATGTGAACCTGTTTCAGCAGAAATCAATTTGGATGCAATGTCAAAGAGAAAATTTTCTGAATAATTGTTTCTGACACGAAGAACACGAAGTGATTTTAATACACGAGTTTTGATGCTTGAAAGTAGAAAAATAAAAATAAATAAATTCTGAATCATTTTTTAAATAATTGAAAAATTATGATAAATAAACAGTTGAGGTTTTCACCAGTTTACAGCTTTACTTTCGATTTGTTCTCCTGTTTCATATGTTACAAAATGAAGTATAGCGTCAAATTCTGAAAGAACTTGGAGCGATTTTGAGCGTGTAAGGAATGTTTTAGTTTTCTTGTGAATTATCAAAAATGAGTAACTTATTTTACCTAAAATAAATGTTTACTGTTAACATTTTAAAACACGGGATCAGCAAAAACATTTTTAGTAACTTCTGAACGAACATAGAGAGAGAGCTGCGCGGCTTGTCCAAAGGTAACGCTGTGACATTTTCGACGTAGTAATTTGAGCTTTTCTCAAAAACTACAAGAGCAAGAAAGTTTGTGTTTTGCGCTATTCGACGCGGCTCTTTTTACTCTACTTTGAGTATAAAAACGAAGATTTCTGATTAAAGACTCGAGCTTCCAGAAGACCGGTAACGCTGTGAAACGGTCCTAAATTCTAACTACTCCTCATTAACGTGCAAATTTCTGCAAATTTAGAAGAGTTAATAAAAAGGTTCTTGAGCAAAGTTAATAGAGGAACTAAAGGACTTTCTTTTGGTAAAAAGAACTTTTTTCCAAACCCTTCCACACGTCCAGAAAAATCGACATTTTTGGTAACGCGGTGACACACTTTTTTGTCGCACCATTTTTAACCACTAAACGTTGTTCAAGAAACTTTATACTTATAATCTGTGTATTTCTAGGTTTTCTGAAAAGACTCCAGTTGAAAATAAAGTTCAAAAAGGTCTCTAAGTCTTTCGGACTAAGGCGGAAGTTGATACGTTCAAGCAGCCACTGTATCTCGACTGAAAAATAGATCCCAAAACAAAAATGAGCCATTTAGTAGAGAATTGAATTCTCTATTCAACGATATGTTTTGAAAATTTTTTGAACAAAATGTCTAGGTTAGAAAACTAAAATTAAAGTTTTTAACAATTTTAAATGAAAATTTTTATATTGAAAGTTAATTTTTTTTTCTCAAAAAAAGTCCAGGTTCGTGAAAAGCGTGAAAAGCTGCGTCTAGTGCTGTGCCCCTATAGATTTTCCGATGAAAAAAATTAGAAAAAGCTTGATCGGCGAAGTATCGCGGTATGTGGACAAGCCGTGAGGTTAGTAAACTTATTCGGGAAATATTCAAAATAATTTTTCGATCTGACCTATAATCCATGACTTGTTTTGAATATTTGCTGAAAATTTAAGTTTGATTAGATGAGAAATGACTGAGTTATGAATATTTTAAGTTTACATGGACATAGGAGAAAAAGTAGATTTTGAAAACGTTGAATCAGCTGGACTTCTTGTGATTTGAGGAAGAAAATAAACATTGCCACGATGATCAGCGTATCCGATTGTCTATATAATATGTGTTTTTGAAATTGCTGGACATGTCTAGTACGAGATAACGTGGTCGTCGAATAATACCTACAGAACTAAAGATCTGGGACTTCTGTAGAATTCTAGAGGACGATAAGAAGGATTGAATCAATTCCTCGGCATTTGAAAATCATCTTTTTCGGTAACCTAACAAACTATTTTATCTGTTGGATGTTCTCGAATTCAACAAGTTTTTAAAATCAATAGCAGGTACTTTGGTAGAAGATTTTCTAGAAATATTTCGAAGAAAAAGAATGTCATTTTCTAATCTCACCCAGTCAGTCATCTGTATGTTTTGAAAATTCGATTTAAGGGCCCCTCTCCCCTCTAAAATTTTTTTTCCCAGAGCACTCAATCTTACTGAAATTTTTATTGAACATGTATCTGACCATTGATAGTTCTAAGTAAAAATTTAAGCTCATAATGTTGAGTTTTTCGCGAGTTATTGTAACATCAAGGGTCAAAAAGTAGGTGTCCGTGTGTCAAAGATTTTGTTTTCAATTTTAATGATACGGACCTCGGGATGGTGTCGAAATGTAGAGAAGACCTGCCCCTACAACCGATCAAAGCCGGATTTTTGAGGAAAAAAAATTAATTTTTTTAGACATTTTTTTCGAAAAACCTAGATTAATTTTTTAGAAAACGCGAGTTTTTTGTAAAACTCGTTTCGTAGACTGAAGTAGCGAAATTAGGTATTTCTATACCAGATAATGAGTGAAAAACGCGTTTTTAACGCAATAAAACGCGACAAACGCAAGATTGGCTCAAGAATAGCGAAAAAACGAATTTTCTATAAAAAGCGCGTAAAACGCGAGTTTAGCTTTAAAGTATCACGTGAAACTCTGTTTACGAAAATTTACCGCGTTTGACGCAACCTATGATTACGTCAAATGCGATTCTCGCGCTTTTTTTTCAAAATAATTTCTCGTTGTAAATTTTTCGTAAACAGAGTTTCGCGCGATATTTTGAAGCTAAACCCGCGTTAAAACGAATTTTCGAAACATATAAGTGACTGACTTTGCAACTACAAGATTAAGTTTAGCAGTCAATATTGAAAATCTCTTATATCAAAACATTCAGTAAACATGTCTCTACAAAGAAGTGAAAACTGGAGCTTTCCATTTATCTTCGTTAAGAAGGTATTAAAAACATTTGTGCTAATCCCAAGTTTTAAAATGTTTGCAGTAAACATTTATTTTAGGTAAAATAAGTTACTCATTCTTAACAATTCTCGAGAAAACTAAAATTCTTTACCAAAAAAATCGATCCAAGTTCTTTCAGAATTTGAGGCTTTACTTCATTTTGTAACACAGGAAAGAGGAGAACAAATCGAAAGCAAAGCACAAATGTCGTCAGTATTTCTGGAGGTACAACCGACGATTTGAAAATCAACAAAAATTACTATTTTTTTCGTAAATTGTCGAAATAAGACAATGCTGAGCTATCCACTCATGTCAAAAACTTTTTTCTTTTCTTGCATCAGGCTTATTTTGTCAGTCTTTTTGTGAGTATTGACTACAGGCTTAGCAGTCGAGTAATAGTTTTAAATTCCATGTGATACGCGATTCAAATATCTGATATTATATCCAAAGAAATGTTATTCTCGAACAGAATCCCGACTTCTAACAGTTCAATGTGTTCTCATTATGTACTAGAACGAAAGGAGCCAAAAATGAAACATTTCTTTCCGCTGTTATTTTTTGTTCCGCATCGTATTTTCTGTGGTATTTTTTGATAGTACATCGTAAAACCTTGGCTGATATCTCGTTTTGTAGAAAACTGTCTAAGGGAGTGACTGAATATATTTGAGAACGAATTCTAAGATTGTCAGATTGTCTGGAAAACCGGAGCTTTAGAAATCTTTTTCTAAAGACCCACACGCCTAGCATAATGTTTTTCCGTTGAGACCTATATACGCTCTTTCATCTGACGAGGGAACATTCCCAGGTGATACTTTCCGATTTTGTTCGTTCATATGCCGATCGATAGGCCACATGGAGGTATGAAAAAGCCTAAGAGCGTTCGTGCGCAATCGCGTTCCTTCAAAAGTTAT